TGAAAGGCTGGGTGGGTATTTGGATGTAATACTCATGAAAGGCTGGGTGGGTATTTGGATGTAATACTCATGAAAGGCTGGGTGGGTATTTGGATAGATTACTGATAGAAGGCTGGATTGGTACTTGGATGGAATTTTGGTGAGGTTTGAGGAAAAAATACAGCAAAAAATATAATGGTTCAAGCCATAAATGGCCTTCAACCCCGGCTTTAACATACTTATGTGTGCAAGAGAGAAGGATGGAATGGATTGAAGGCTGAATGAAAGAGAAATGGAAGAAATATTACCTGGAAACAATTTTTTCGCTAAATAGTTGAGATGATAATCTTGAAGCTCCCCTTCGTTTGACTTTGTCCACCTTTTGTTTAGAGCATCCAAAAAATCACCCAGTGGTATGCTCTCAGGTGATGTGAAAGGCTCTCGATCCTTCAAAAGAAACACAGAAAGGTTCATGATACCAGGTTGTCTTATGGGACACGATTTAGGGGGGGTGGGGTTACCCAGTACCCACTACCACTGGGAGTGAAATCCTGGATGTTGTACTCAAATGTCTCAAAAACTAGTCACTATACAGTCTACAATCTGATTCAGTATCGAGCTAGCATTTCAACAGATCTCTGAGGGGTAGGTTCGGGTACCCACAACCTGACAATTCATATCCTGACATTACACATCCTAAAACACTGAGTGAAAAAATGAGGAAAAAGCTACTAACTTTTCTACCAAAAGCATTGTCCCAGAAAATCGTAGCTTCTGACTCCAGGCACTGGCTCGTGTTTGTCATCACCACTATTGGCACCGAGAATGTCTGAGAATAGTCAAAGAAACATAAATTAAGGCAATATAAAACAAGTGAAATATAGTCTTAAGCTTAAGTTGTATTGTAGACATTGTGGAGCGGTTTTCGTATGAGTGGGAAACGTTACGGCACAACGCGTTGTAATTGGATAACTTACTGGATGAGAATGGGAAGCAATTTCAATGTTATTAAACGTACCGTATTCGTGCTGTAATGCAGCACTGTACATTTTCCACTCGTGCCAAAACAGCTATACAGCATATCGTACCGTTTACGTGCTGTAAGTCAGCACTGTACGTTTTCAACTCGTACCAAAACAGCTATACAGCATGTTGTACCGTGTACGTGCTGTAAGTCAGCACTGTACGTTTTCCACTCAGCACTGTACGTTTTCCACTCGTACCAAAACAGCTATACAGTATGTCGTACCGTGTACATACTCTAAGTCAGAACCGTTACATTTCCCACTCATATGAACACAGCTCACATTTACCTCGATGGTAAAGCTTTCGGTGCCAATCATGATTTGTGTCTGAAACATCAAACCGCTTTTCTGGTCCGTCACCAGCTGAAACAGAGTGCAGAAAGAAAACTATCTAAAAGATCATGATCGACACATACTTTGTGAAGAGTAATGTATATAAATTAGACCCTTGGCAGCACATTCCTGCAATACAGCTCAATTTGGAGGTCAAAGCTAAGAATCTTATTCTACTGTGACTGAGTGTATAGAATCCTTGGCAGCACATTCCTGCAATGCAGCTCAATTTAAAGCACAAAAATTTACTCTCATGAGAATTGTTCCCAATTGAGCTGCTTTAGGAATTGCTGCAAGGAAGATGAAAAAATACAGAAATACAGAAATAGGAATATGAAACTAAGATATAGAATGGGGCCTGTGTTTTTTGGCCTGTGTGGGTGCTAAGGGGGTGGGAGGGGAGAGAGGGGAGAGAGGGGGGAGAAGGGTAGTATCTCATTAAGCCAGCACTGCAGGATATTAATATTTTTTTAGCATTTTTTAAATTTTATACCCTAGTCTTATCCTCATTTAGTTTAGCTTTTCTTTTCTCTTGTTTGTGCAATTTCTAGGAAAAGGGAAAAACATAGGCAAATGTTATAATAACCATTATTATCATATGACCCGTATCTGCCTGGGCGCGCGCTCTTAAAAAAACCTTCGGGAAAATGGCGTGAGCAGGGCCGTACGAATCCCTGCTCGAAACCTGCGACCGTATTTATTTTATTATTTTTCTTTTCGTGAGGGTCATTTGCTGCGTCGCTGCGCTCGGTCCGTACGGCACCACCTCGAGCCAAATATTTTCCCGTACGGCCCTCCCACTCAGTCAATAAGTACATATTCTATTCTAAGTGTGGGTAGCATGCAATGGGTAGCGTACGCTGCTGACACGTTGTCTTTCAACACTGTGGTTCCAAAGGTCCAGATCTCTGGTTCGAGCCCTGCTGACACCTTAACGTCAATTGAGTTTGTTTGACGTGTTCTCTCCTTGAATGTAGTGGTAGTGTGTGTGAGTGAAAAGTGTCCCAATTAGTGCAAAAGCGCGAGAACGACTAGGCACTTAAAGAAAGAGTTCTTCCAAGGTTTTTCTTTAGGTTTTCCGGTTTTTCTCCCTCTGCAAAACAAGGCAAATATCGAGGCAGTTCTTTTAATTTTGATTGAAGACATCTTTTGAATTTTTGTTTCTATGTGTTAAGGAAAAAACTGGGTTGTCTGATTAGCATTGCACACATTGCAGGGCTTTTAGGCGACATATTTCCAAGATGGCGTCTATTTTCCCCCCTAAAAAGTTCCATAATGCACTGCAAAGCTAACTCAACCCTGTTTTTCTCTCAACCTCGCAATGGATAATAGAAGGGTGCTGCAAATAGAGCTTGGGCTACCTGTGGTTCGGGTTATTGGTCTATAAAGTGCTAAATAGTTACCAGTTTATCAAACGAGACGCAGAAGGATTCTGTCTGCTTGTCGTAAGTGAGACACTACAAGGAATAAAACGATATGATTCATCATTAACTATGAACACTTCAAACACTGATAAGATCAAGAGATGATTTTAACAAGTTGTATAACTAATGATTACTTTTTTGTTGTTTTGGACATTTTTGATGTTTTCATCTTGGGCTTTAACGCTATATGAAAAAAACAAATACTCAATCAATCAACCAATAAAATAATCATTCAGCCGACGGTCGGTCGGTCAGCCAGTCTAGAAATCAGTCAATGCGGACGGTCAGTCAGTCTGTCAGTCATTCAGATCCATCGGTTGATCAGTCAGTCGGTCGGTCGGTCAGCCAGTCTGTCAGTCAGTCAGCTGATTAGTCGGTTGGTCAGCTCTAGTCTGTCATTCATTCAGTTTGTCAGGCGGTCGGTCGGTCAGTCTGTCGTTCAGTCAATTGGTCGGTCAGTCAGTCATTTAGTTCAAGTCTGTTATTAAGACAGTTGTATACTCACTTTTCAAACTTTGCTCTGTAAAAGTGCCGTATGTCGTCATCCCTTGAAAATAAAAATGTTTTAATAATGCTAAAATTTAAATTTGATCTGTGAGTTAGCTGTGCCCTGACTTAGATCAACCCAGAGGTTGTTTCAGGGTTTGATCTGTTACCTAGCCATGCCCTGACATAGATCG